CTCCATGGCAAGGAAAGAGTGAGGTCTTCAGCTATTTTTTTAACATTTTTTTTTGATTCATTAATTTTTAAAGCACCAGAAGCAAAGAGGTGAAGGGCAGAACAAGCTGCTTCTCAGGAACAAGACACTTCCAACGAGCTCCGCTGTCATTCAGGTGTAGCTGGAAAAAGGCAACAGTGGCCAATATGAACAAGGAGAATCCAGCTACCTGGAGCAGCCCCACAGAGCCTGTCAGGAGACACTGGGAGAGAAACCTTAATTTAAAAATCAGGTTCATTTGAACATGTACATGGAACCAGCCTAGCTGAAGGTTTCCATTATGTATTAAGCAGGTGTCACACCTGCCAGTGATGAATGACAATTTTTAGCTTGGCAAGGAAGAACAAGGTACCCAGGTGAAACCCTGGCCCCACCAGAATCTATGGGATGGGAGCAGCAAGACTTCCACCCTGCTGGGTTCTCCTCACCTTGGCTTCTTATGTTTCCTAGACCCTGCTCTTTGCTAAATGCCTCATTTTTGCTACAGTTTGCATATATTTATGGAAAAGGCAGTTGAGCAAAGGGAGAAAAGTGAAAAAACTTGCTGAGAAGAATGCCAGGTAGAGAATTACCCATGTCCTTTATAGCAAAGGGTGCTTCTAGAAGCACCAACATGCATTTCAGCGACCGTGGAGAACCAAGGCTGGAAGACAGGACATGGGTAAGATGCCAGTAGGTCCAAGAAACATCATAATCAACTTTTCTTTGATGGTGATCCTTTTGGAAGCTAAGAACCTAAGGAAAGAATTTGTAAGGCTGTAATCTGACTTGCCTTTTGATCTATTTGGCTCCATAAAAAATCCTAAAAACTCTCTTTGAATAACTTTGCAAAAGGCCTGCATCATCCAGGGAAGCCCTCCAACACATACCTCAGTTTGCTTTCACAACGTTAGCTTGTCATTCCACTGCTGCTGGGATTTTAGCACACAAAGTGTTAAAAAAACCAAACCAACAACCACCAAACCCCCCCCCCCACCCCCTGCTTTGGACACAAACATCTCCCCGGTGTTGGGTTTGGAGTTGGGTTTGGGGTGGGAAGGGTAGGAGGGCTCATGCTTCACCCAGCCTGCAGGAACTCCACCTCACTCGCATGCAGCCGGGCTGGCGGGGCCGGTGGGGTGGCCACAGGCAGGGCTGGTGGTGGAGGGAGAAGGAAGAAGGGAGAAGAGGGGAAGAGGGAGGAGGAAGGGGGAAGGCAAAGTCAGTCGTGTCGCTGGGAGCGACGTCGCTAAGACAATATCCAAGTGGAACAGAGAAGGACTTGTTTAGAAAACACAAGAGTTATTTTTGCACACATGGACGACAACAAGGCTACGTAGTTTTTCCAACATACTCCTTCCTCCCCCGCCCTCCCTCCCTCCCCCTACAAACAACAGAGCGAAACAAAACCCCTCCCCAGAATCCCTAAGAAATCCAGGTAAAATCCTTGTCGTTCTCCCCCGAGTTGTCCTGCTCCTGCGGAGAGTCGACGTCTTTGTCGTCCTCTAAAATCACATCATCTTGTGACATCCCCACGTCGTCCTTCCACTTGATGTCGTCGTCGTCTCCCATCTCCTCGTCTCCTTCCACTTTGATGTCATCCGGGTCTTCCATGTACTGGCCCTCCCCGGGGTAGCACTCCTCTGGAGACCCTTCTCCCCCGTTGTGGTCCAGGTGCCCCGCGATGCCTCGCCCGGAGCAGTCGGCGCAGACGCCGTGGCGGCGAGAGCCGTGCTTGATCCCCACACTGGCTGCAGACATGAACACTCGGTTGCAGACCTTGCAGACGTATTTTTTGTCTTTGCTGTGGACCTGGAAAAGGAGGCCAAGGAGGAGAGTTAACGCCGGGGGAGATGGCTGGGGAGCTGCAGGGAAGGACACGCTCCCCCCTGTCCTTCTGCTAAGGCAAAACCACCGCAGCGACTGCGGCCGCTTGTTGTGGACTCAAACCCACGGTGATTAGTACAACCCTGTCATGGTGTCATTCCATGGGAACTCCCCTCGTGCCTGCCTTTGGATCATCAGAGGAGTCGTTTTGAGGGTGACTTCTATCATCTGGTCCAGCTGCCCAACTACTTCAGGGCTGACCAATATGTATCTTATGCACAGTTATCTTCTTTTATATAGCACTTATTTTTTATATATTAATTGCATTCAGGGACCCAGGAGCTTGCCCTGGCCAGTGCCCTGTTGCTGGCACTGATCAGCAGGGGACACTTTCGGAACCAGTGCAGACAGAGAGAAGGATCCACCTTGTTCTCTGCTGTTCAGTGATCTGGGGTCATCCTGAGCAAGCCATTTCCTGCAGACCATCACCTACCAGAGCCTCTGGGCACATACTGTTTGTGTCTAACCTTTTTTTTAACCATTTATTCTTTCCATGCTTGAAAGAGCCTGTACAAAAGGTTCTGCTGATGGAACACACCTTGTGGGGAACAGTCCTTCCTTGTATCCTGCACCAGCTGCCTGCCAAGGCCAGTTCCCTGCTCATGCCCCACCCTGGGATCACCTCCTCTGCACCTGGGTTCTCCACAACCCCGAGCTCACTGCTCACCCCAACACCCAGCTGAATTAAAGGCATTTGGGAAGAGAACAAATTGACCCATCTTAGCCCCACAGCCCTCACTACTGCAGGACACTTGGCTCAGGCTCTGCACTACACCAGCCCCAACCACCTTCAAAGCCCCTGAGCTCCTCTGATGTCCTCTGGCTTCAGGTCCTCCTTGCTCTGAGCTAGTCCTGGCCACGTGTCTCTCAACCACATCAAGCAAAATCACTGCGTTTTATTTTTCCATTTCAACTCCACATAAGCTTTTTTGAAATCAGTTTGACAGGGCTGGTCAAAGCCATCTCACAGGATCTGTAGGTATCACTCCTTTTTAACTGCAAGAAGAATTATTTTCAGGACTGCAAAGCTGAATACAATGACAGAAGGTGGCCAAGGGTGCAGAGTACAGGCTGAAAGAGCCATGGAAAAAGAAGAAACTATAAAACAGGTACTAAAGTGATGTGTAATTGAAATATCTGTGGAAAACCTGATGGCCCCTCTCCCTCTTTCCAACACTGACAGTTTAGTCACATATTGCAAGTGAGCAGAAATCAATCCTACTTCCCTTATTGCCAAGTTATTGAGTATTAACCACAGAAATGGCATCTGGCCTTGGTGCCTGACAATGCCTTCACCAAGATGTGAATCTTGGTTTTACTTGGCTATTCCAATTCAAAGAAAACAAGAGTTTCTATTATATTTACATTTTATATGAAGACTATAAAAATACGCTTTTTAGCCAGAGTTAAACCAAAACAGTCCCTTCTGTCTTTGGTTATCAGTTGAGGAACTGAGAGAAAGGAGGTTTTTGTTGTTAAACCTACTTCCTTTTCCTGCCTGATCTCTGCAGTGTCTTCACCCTGTGCTCAGCAGCGCCAGCTGCACATCCCCACCTGGCACTGCCCGCCCCAAAGCGTCAAGCACACGGGAGAAAAGACAGCAGAAGAAGCCACATGCACAGACCCAGCAGCTCATCTTGCCACCAGCACTTCAGGCAGCCCCCACAGCCACTTCTGGGCACGAGGATCAGTCATTTGCATACAACATAATCTTGGAAAATCAAATTAGAGAGCACGAGCTGTCCCGCTGCCCCGTCCTGCTGCCCAGGAGTTCACAGCAGCCAGGGCTGCACGGGAAGGAGAAGGTTGTGCTGGAGAGGCAGCTAGGTGGGGAAAAAAGGTACTGGGGAAGCTTCAGAGGAGCCCTGGAGAGAAAAAGACCCAAGAGCTGAAGCTCCTGCTGTCTGAAATCCACACGGGTCCCCCCACCTGCCCTCTTACCAGGGTGTGTCGCTTCATGTGCTCCCGGCGTGTGAACTTCTTCCCGCAGATCTCACAGGGATAAGGTCTTTCCCCCGTGTGGGACCTCATGTGTCTCTTCAGGATGCACTGGTGCATGGCTGAAAAGCTGCAGTATGGGCACTTGAACTTCTTCCTGATGACTGTGAACTCGTTGACTGCAAGAGAGAAAGCAAAACATGCAGATTAAAAATAAATAAATTTTTAAAAGTCAGTCATCTTGTTTAGGATTTCACTGTTAAATTAGTTCACTGTGAAGTCACATTCTCACCTCAACCATCTACACTGTTTTCAATCCTTACACTATACTATTGCACTTACATTATTACAAGTAAGAACTTCTAGGGCTTTCATCAGAGAAGGTTTTGAGCAAGGCAGTACACAAACATGTAGCAAGGCTGCAGGGCATGTGGCCTAATGCTTGTTAAAGAGCAAATCAAGAGGGTTGACAATCTGCTGAATTATAATAAGAAATAAAAATTATAATAAATTATTATAATCAATCTGATTTATTATAATGACATGTCCCTATTTGTGGAAGAAGCAGGTAGCTGTGAAGAGAAGACCACAAACATGACACCCCAACAGTGCCAAGTGCTTTGGTTTTATTTCTGGGGTGATGCAAGAACATCATCCCATGCTCCAGGAGTATTTCAGTGAAGGTGCAGAGACTGAGGATCACCCAGGAGAACAGGACAGTCAGGACAAACAGACACTCCATTATCCACCTCAACCAGTGCTACCACTGCAGCATAGATACAGGAACATAAAGAGATGCTAATGTTGACTCTCAGGATGGCCCCCACCAGCCTCCTGACCACTCAGCTCTAGGCAGCCCTTGATGGAGGCTTTTTCTGTCCCCCTAACCTGATCTTGCCAAACCAGAAAAGGGGTGAGTTCTTCGAAGCCCTTCCTGACATTGCTGATTCCTTTCTCCTTGTCACCTCCTCAGCAGCACACCTCAGGCAGGCCCAGGGGACACGTGCAGTAGTGACAGCCCAAGGGTCTAATTTGCCAACAGAACGTTCCACCTTCTCCTCCAGACAAAGCCAAAGTGCAACATGCCAACTGCAGCAGATGAAAACTGAGTCTTTGCTGCTCCCTGAAGACACCCACCCATCTGAAGCTGGGAAGAGAACTGTCCACACAGGTAAGATTTTACATCTCTACCTTCTAATAATTCTACTGCTTTCCTTTAGTATGCTCATTTCTACTCACTTTTCTTCTAATTATTGTCATTTCTTAAAGCAATATATTGTTTACATAATGATGGGGGGGGGGGGAATTAGCAAGTTCTAGTTAATCACCTCAAGTCCATGATCTGTGTGTAAATGGCTCTTGGTAAATGAAAGCAGTTGATGTAGGGAAGCTAAGGGAATAAGGGAAGTACCAGACCTACTACAGGGCTTCTAATGGACTGAGAACTCTGCAATGTTTTTAGATGCTTGTTACCTCCTACACATGCCCTAGGAGCTGCAGGCAGGCTGCAAGCTCTCAGCACACCACAGGTAATGCCATGGGAGCAGCAAAGTGCATTGAAAACCAGCTCCTGAAACAGGGAAATCAGTTAGACCCACACTCTGTGTCATTGAATGCACCATTTGTGGTGGGTTTGTGTTATTGTTGTTTTGTTTTTAAAGTTTACTTTGCCTTTGCAATGCAGATGAAACTATGTGAAAAGTAACTACCTCTCATCTGAGAATACTTTGGGAAGTTTTTTATTGCTCAAATGCAGACTAAAAACATGGTTCACCTTAAATGTTTCCATGGTGTGAATATTGTCTTGGCATTTGTTTTGTGTATTTGGAATTAAACATACCCTCCACACTGCTAACTTTGATGAAAATAATACTCCTTTTAATTATCAGCTTGAATTTGATCTGAGATTCTTATATTCTTGTGCTCCTAACTTGCTGCTTTGGGCTGCTCAGTAACTGTGCTGGTACATTTCTACAGCGGCTGTTTTTCTGGGGTTTTGGTGTTTTTTTCCAGCACATTTGTAAAGCTGTCAAGAGAATTTTCTAGCCCAAGGGAAAAAACAAAGAAAAGCCTACTCACCTGGGCCATGGCTGCAACACTGACCACAGGGAACAGGAACACTAAAGGGTATTTTCTCCACCCGTCAGGAAAGATTACTGACTGCCCAGGCAGAGTTTTGAAGGGCTGGTTTCAAGTGACTCTGCACTTGCACTGCTTTGGGAACCTCCCAGAGGAGACACTTGAATATGGCCTGATGCCCAGAGCCCTGCACAAGCTGTTGTTGATCACCAGCAGCTCAGCCAGGCTGCACAGCTCTTCTCCTGCCCTGCTCCCAACTGCTGATTTACAAGGTGGGGGTTCTTTCAAATACACTACGAAAACTTCTCTCTCTCTTATATTACAGGAAAAGTATTTTTTGCTTTCATCTTCTTTGGATTTGACACCAGAGGCAAGGAGCCCACTTTTTTTCTGCAGGAAAGCCTGAAGCAGGTCTCAGTGTTAGGATTCAAAGCTGTTGATGAGAAACACATTTCCGGTTTGGATCTTGTAGCTCCTGAGCATTAGTAACAGGCCACACAAACACTTATATTCCCCAGGATCACTATAAACCTATTACTAAGGAGTCTAGACAAGGTAAGCAAGCTGTAAGCTGATCAAGGGAAGTCAAGAGGGGACATAAAACCTCCTTCCTCCAGTCCAAGGCCACGTCCAGCACTAACACCACAAACATGCTCCATGTGTAGACCACAGTTAGCAGGACAAGCTGCTCAGCAGGCCAGGTTTATCAGCCACCTGGGAAAAAAACCTGACACAGAGAGCCTTACAGCAACCAGATCCCAAGATTACAAAGCAAAAGTGCTTTAGAGAAGACCATAAAATCCTTTACTTCCTACACGGCCAGACTGTGCCTGATCCCGTCATTTCCGAAGCGACCAGCTGGCTCCTCTCGCCCGCGTCCCTGCCCCTTGCTGAGCCACTGCAGGAGCTGAGAAGGCAACTCCAAACCTCAGCAGCACGACCTGCACCCTTGGCACGCTCCCTTCACACACAGATAGCCACTTGTTTCCAACACACACAGGTATTTCCAACAACATATTCATGACACCTTCCGATTTCAAGGCCCCTCACACCTACTTTTGCCTGTATTCAGCCTAAATTGCTTGACAACAACACCATGTGCAGCTTCTGGGATGCTTACAGTTAAAAATAGTCACAGTCACTTTTTTTTAGCTCTAGTTTTATTGAAAACTACTTCTTCACTGAATAGCCATGTATTTAGTTCTTGCATCTACAAAAGTAAACACCTGAAAAATAACATTTTTAGAAAAATACCTGTATTGCAGTATTAACATTTGTCATAGCACTGTTAAATACCTGCACCCACAAGTCCACAGATTTAATAAACAACATACCAACTGTGGTATAGCTATCATCTTTTGTCTGAATGACAACATTTTATAGTGCTCACAAACAGCAGCATTAAGGTCCTAAGAAATAATCTTTAACAAGATCAAGACCATTAAGAGCAGCGCCAGAGATAAGGAGCTGCCAGACAACTCCCTGAAGAGCAGCACCAAGATGTGGAGAACGTAGCACAAACAGAGCCACAGCATCCAGCTGTGTACTTAATGCCACTAAAATATTTACAGATGTGCATTTTAAAAACGAACACAAACAGGCTTGGAAAAAAAGCCTTTCATGTTGTCATCTCAAGTGGATTTACTTATTTTACTGAGGCTGTTAAGTGAAACAGGCTCCTACAGCCCTAACTTGAGAGCAGGGAAAGCACTAGTGATTTACTGCCTGGTGAAACTATTTTGTATTAACTCTGTGAACCAGTATGCAGCTCATAACCCCTAAACTATTACATTCACTTATGACAAAGAATTCACAAACTTTAAGACAATTCTTGCCCATTTAATCCTAATTATATTTATGGTCATGCATACCAAGGCACGAATTTAACTGACAAAATTACAACTCCCATCATCTTCCCATGCTGTTTTCTAACAGGAAAATCCTGCTTTTAAAGAAGTTTTCTACAGGAACTCTGTGAGCCTCTGCTACATTATATCCCTTGGCTCTAGCACTTCCAAAAACCTAGTGCTGATCCTGAAGGGCAACACTGGGAATTCTCAGGGCTGAAGTCAGGAAGCACTCTGATGCACAGGCCAAGTAAAATACTACTCAAAACTCTATTAGAGAGACTGAGTTGGCCTGACTATAGAAAAATAGTTCCATGTCGAATGAGATTCTCAAATATGAGAACAATGAACAACCACCAAGTGCCAGGATCTGTTATCATGTGAACAAAGCCCTTTAAAGTTTTCTGAAATGACTTTTCCTGACATCTTCTCTGCTTCACACAAATCCTACCACGCTGCTCCCAAATGTCCAGATAAGGCTCATTTTGGTCATAACTTTCTCTTCTGGCTCAGCTTCCTCCTTCCTTGCTTGCTATTTACTTAAGAGCAGAGTAAATTACGAGGCAATTAAACTGACATCTGTAACAAGGGGAGCTGACAGACTATACACCCTACACCCTCACAGGCAGCTCTGAGCCACAATGCCAAAGATGTCAATGGGAACAAGAGCAGGAAAAACGCAGAAATGAAATGTCTGAAGTGGTGTGCACTACACTGGCTGTACAGGAACACATTCTCCACTCTGACCGCACCCTGCTCAAACAAAGAGTAAGAACTAAGCCAAGGAGGGAAACTCAGGCTTCCCGACCCTCAGAAACACAGCCCTGAGGCAGCAGGAGCCGTCCCGACTCCCAGCCCTGCCCCAGAACGTACCTGCTCCCCCTCCAGGGGAGCAAGGGCAGCAGGAACCGGATGATCCTCACATCCAGCTTTCCACAGGAAACAGCTTTGCAAGAAACCCTCCCCTGCAGCTCTGCGGGCTGCTCGACTCCACTCTGTGCATGACCAAGTATTCCTGATTTTTGTCTCCCTGAGGCACAACGATATTATGAGAAGGAACCTTTTGGAAGAGCTCTGAAAATCCTCCATCTCCTCAGCTGCCTCCCTGGCACAGGAAGAACAGCAACCCTACAAGACAGGCAAGGCTGAGGCTCCAGCTGCTGACAAGCCACGTTGTCCACCACAATTAATTGTACTCTGCTTTTGCATGTACATATGTAGCAAGAGACACAGAAATATTCAATCTTTTTTTT